ATTCCAGAAATCTAGGGCCTTGCTTGGAATGGATTTATGAAAACTATTCTCAAGAACAATTTTCAGAGAACAGTTTTTAGTTTTTTCAGATTTCAAGCTGGCTTGGTTAAGAGAATTTACAAAACAGTTTCCGAAAAACAAAAACTTATAAAACTACTTGGTTGTATGAGTTTTTGAAAATAATTTTCTGAACTAAGAAAATAAATAAAAATATTGTACATTACTCTTTTATAATGAAGATATTAACTATTAATGTAAATATATATATATATATATATATATATATATATATATATATATTTTACATAAGTGGTGAAGGTGAATTCATTTTAACAAGTATACTTAATAAAAGTTGCACAAATACAATATATCAAGTTTAATTAAAATTTGACTAAATTTAAATACAATAAAAGAGTTATATTAATTACTTCAAAGTGTCATATGCACTTTTAGTTGTACAAACATTAATTTTAGTCATACATAACCAAAACAAAATATTAGAGAATTACACAAATAGGTAATCAAAGCAAAACATTAGAGAATTATAAAAATAACTTCATTTAGCATTGCCTCTGAATGATGCCCACATTGGATTTGTCAGATGAGTTCCAATGATATGTTTATTTTTTGTCTATTTGTACAATATTAATGATATGTTTTTTTTTTTTTTTTTTTGGACTAACACTAAATTAATTACTTAAAAGGTAGTATTAAATAAATACCTTTACGTACTACTGGAGAACATGAATTGAAATATGTTTGGTAAGTACATAAATTCCATTCTAAAATCAAATCCCGTGGAATCCTATCGTTCCAAACAAAGCGTAACATGCCCAATTTGATTAACATGAATCCAATTTCCCCAAAATTAGCTAAAATGGATACATCAAGTTATACATACCAAGGCAAGTCGTACATATATATATATATATATATATTATGTATATATGTGTGATATCTTACATGAAAAAAAAAAAAAAAAACTAAGAAAAAGTGGAATAAGCAAAGCAATTTAGGGAAACCCAAACTAAGAGTATTGTAACCTAATAAATATCTTACCTAAAAAAAAAAAAAAATTAAAAATTAAAAAAAAAAAAAAAAACGAAGAAGAAGAAGAGGAATAAGCAAAGCAATTTAGGGAAACCCAAATGGAACCTAAATATCTTACCTGAAAAAAAAAGAATTAAAAAAAAAAATCGAAGAAGAAGAAGAGGAATAAACAAAGCAATTTAGGGAAACCCAAATCGAGAATGTTGTAACCTAAATATCTTACATGAAAAGAAAAAGAAAAAGAAATAAGCAAATCAATTTAGGGAAACCCAAATTGAGAGTGTTGTAGCCTAATTTTCTTCAATAACTGTTGTTGCTGCGTGAGGAGGAGAAGGAAAAGTTACCATCGTGATTTTTCAGGACAACTTGATCTGATGATTGCAGAAAGGGGATCTATTCATGAAAAGCAAAGACGAAGCCGAGGGAAAAAATATCACCCAACCATATAGGATGTTTCGTGAAATCTCGCCGGATTCACCATAGATTGGGCAACAAAATCAACATGGATCACGAGAGCTTTACAGTGGAGGAACGGAGAGTTGATCAATGGAGAGACAGAGAGAAGAAAGTACGACAGCGAGCCAAACTTTTAAACGAGAATGGCTTTGCGTCATTTTTTAAGTGGACACTGCTTCTCCGTGTTTCCACTTTTGAGAACTGTGTTCTGAAGAATTATGAAAACAACTTTTTCTTGTTCTTCAAAAACTATAACAATGAAAACTCAATTCTCCAAAAACAGTTCCAAGCAGCTTAATTTTGCAGTTTTGGATTTTTTGTCACTATGAAAACAGAAAACAATTTTCATAATGACAATCCAAGCAAGGCCTAGAATTCTAGAGAGAAATACAGAAACTCTATCGACATTCATCCCCCACACCCAAACCTGAAGGCGAAGAGCAACAAGCACATCAAATCGTGCCGTTCTTCGTCAAAATTTCACGGTGATCAATAACAAATCATGTCGTTCTTCATCAAAATTCCACGGTGATCAATAATAAGCACATCTAAAGTCGTGCCGTTCTTCACCAATTTCAACAAATTATGAAAGAAAGATTATAAAAATATCTAACTATTTGCACCCTAAAAGTAAATATTTATTGTGTCACATGGCATAAGTCGATTGGAGAGTAAGTTGTTGCTTTCAGTGTTGAATTAGAAGATTATTATCCCAAGAATTCTATTACAGAGTAAAGTCTAGTTAGAGTGTTTACATCCTAATTGAGATAATGTTTTAATTCAACCGTGTGGTGAAAAGTGTAAGGTTTATTTGTCAGCATCTTGCCACATCATCGAAAGGTTTACTCTCATGTGCAAATTTTATAATGAAATCAAAAGTACGTGTATGAAGATTGTGAAGGATATATTATAAGATGATAAGGTTCAGACAAAATATGTTTGAATTCAAACTAGAGGTTGAATTTAAATTCAAAAGGAAATTGCAACTGATTTCAACTGCTGCTTCAGACCTCTATAAATAGCACCAGAAGAGATCTGCACAAGGGGTCCCGACCATAACATCTGTAATTTCATTACAATGTAGTTCTTCATTTTACTGCATTTTCTTACATAAAGTTTTACTTGTACTTCTCTTTTTCCATAAGAGTAGTGTTAGAATATAACTCTTATTCTTATACTTTTGTATACGACTACTTAATAAATAAAGTGGACACTTAAATCTTTTGTCTCCTCCATTTTGTTATATAAGTTGTTCTTGGATTAGATGGACACTTGGACAGTTCTCTTTGTCTCCTCCGTTTATTTCAAAGTCTGGAATTGAAGAACGCTTGAACATTTTGAGTTGTTCCCTTCTTCTAGTTCCATCCCTTGTTGTCGAAAGTCCTTTTCATTGAGGCGGTTAAGAACCTGAAGGAAGGGGTCATCCTTCCCTTCTAGTAGTCGCCTGATCCACTAAGGGCCAATTTTAGACTCAGTCAGTGCCAATGATAGTTTGACTATCCAACCCCTTGAGTCAAAAGACTTTGGCACGCCCATAAATAATAATAATAAAAAAACCAAACACTAACATTGAAGGTTTATTATTATTATTATTTTGTACAAAGTGATTATTCTTACAGATAAATTCACACTTCATACTTTTTTAAAGACAATACTTAAGTCCTCACAAGTGACGATGTACACCGTCCTTGTCCTTGATGTGAACCTAAGTATTGTTCTTTTTTTAAATGGCTCCTTTAAAACTTTAGTAAGAGACAACATTTAATTTTGGACAATACGTAGGTCCTTACTACTCCATTCTAACTGCTGACGTGGACCGATAACAAATGGACAACCGTTTCTAATTTTGTAATTAAAGATATACATCACTATCTCTAATTTGGTAATCAAAGGAAACGGCTATTTATTATTGGTCCACATTAACATGAAGAAACAAAAAATACATCTTCACTGATGAGGTATAAATTATTAGATGGTTTTGAACCATTTGACACATGGTGAATCAGTTCAATCCAGGCAATTTTGACTTATCAATTCAATCCTATTCAAATTTGATTAGGGAAGAATATAATTTGCTATACGCTACATTACATAGAATTGTTGTGTGTGTATCTATTTCAAAATTTGATTTTTCATTTTATTGGAATGTGTACAGATAAAAAAAAAATATAGAAAAGTCCTAAATTGAAATTATATAACCGAATATATTACATTGATTCTGTTCGATTCGATTCTACTGCTTTCAATAGTTTGATTAATTCTAATGCTTTTAGAACTAAAAAGGTTAATTATGTCAATCCTTTTACGACCAAAATCTGATTAAGGTAACTCAAATTCGTTTATCTTGTATCATGTTTTAGTCGTGTTGAACTTTGCCATCCCTAAGTTTATTCTACTTTGTTTTGAAAGAAAGATGACAACAATATCTAACATTGAAAGTTTATTATTATTATTTTGTATAAAGTGATTATTGTGACAGATAAATTCACACTTCATACTTTTTTAAAGGCAATACTTAAGTCATCACAAGTGAGGATGTACACCGGCCTCGCCATTGATGTGAACTTAAGTATTGGTCTTTTTTTAAATGGCTCCTTCAAAACTTTAGTAAGGGGCAACATTTAATTTTGGACAATACGTAGGTCCTTCTTGGTGAAGACGTATTCCATTCTGACTGTTAATGTGGACCAATAACAAATGGACAATAATTTCTAATTTTGTAATTAAAGATACATCCACTATCTTTAATTTGGTAATTAAAGAAAATATCCATTTATTACTGGTCCACATCAACATGAAAAAGAAGTACATCATCGCTAATGAGGTAAAAATGATTAAATGATCTTGGACCATTTGACACGTAATGAATCGTTCAATCCAAACATTTTTGACTAATCAGTTCAATCCTATTCAATTTTGATAAGGGGAGAAAATAATTTGCCATACACTACATTACATAGGATCATTGTGTGTGTATCTATTTCAAAATTTGTTTTTTTCATTTTATTAGAATGTGTATATATAAAAAATATATAAAGAAAGGTCCCAATTGAAATTGTAGAACCCAATTGATCTTACTGGTTCTGTTCGATTCGATTCTACTCCACTGCTTTCAATGATTAAATTAATTCTAATATTTAATTTTTTTTAAAATCAATTTAGTTCTAACGCATCTCAAAATGGGACCAAACTCAACCGTATGCAGCCCTCATCTCCAAGCCATTATTTTTATTTGAATTTAATTGCCTTACACCTTGGAGACATTTGGTGAGAGAAACTAATTTGGATTCGGTCTCAGTAGCTTTGACCCAGGAGGAGGATAGAGACATCCCTGTCCATTTCCAATCTTGTGGTGGCCCTTGTCCTGTCCAAACAAGCCTAAACCTTGAAGGGTCTGTCTGTCGAGAATTAAATTGCTAATTTACTATTCTTTATAATAATAATAATATAATATACCATGTAGATTCTTCATGTTCACTTCGCTTGCCGGTGTATATATAAACATAAAACATAAAATATTATATTTTTATATATATATAGATATGCTTCGTATCTGCGAAGCTTCGCTTTGTGGTCTCAGATCTCTCTTACCATGTGGTTTGTCCACCATTCGCATGTAAAAGTCGAGGATTCTCTTTCCATTTCCCACTCTCTTTTTCAAGATCTAACTCTGTAAAGGTTGGTATCGCTTTTTCATTTCACATGTTTGTATATTCCTCGCTCGCTCTCTATATATAGTACACATCACATGGTTTCCACTTTCATTTTGATTTTTAAGGGTTCCTGAATGCTCTTATTTTGCTCATTTACTTAATAGATCTCCAAAATTTAGGGTTTCATCGATCTATGGTATTTTATTTGACACTTCTTCTGGAATTTTAGGGTTTTATATCGTAATTATTTGTTTTGTTATTCTATTTCATCTTTTCGCTTGTTTTGAATACACCCTTTCAGCGCTTCAACATAATTCACTGTTTTTATCTTAATTTGACGTTCTATGTTCTGGCTGTATACACATTGATTTGATTACCAATTTGTTATATATTAAGGGAAATCGTTTTTTTTTTTTTTTTTTTACCTTGCTGAAAACCAATTTAAGATGGTATGTTTTCTGGGATTTTGTTTGATTGGGAAGGAATTGATGTTCTATAGGTTTTGGGGTCATCGAGCTTTGTGTTCTAAGCTTCTAGGGTTTGGAGATTATACAAGATGGAGAAGGATAAGTCCCCGAGCCAAGGTGGAGGTTTACCGCCTCAGACAGGGCGGTATTCGGTCTTTACACCACCTGGGAACAGTTTTAATGTGAAATCCGAGCCATCTCCTACATCAGCATTGCCTCCTTTGGGACCTGGTGGTACCACGGAATCGGGTCAATTTGGTCACGGGAAGTTATCAGATTCTAGTTTTAGCCAAGATATTAGCCGAATGCCTGATAACCCTCCAAAGAATATGGGCCACCGGCGTGCACATTCAGAAATCCTTACTCTTCCTGATGACATTAGCTTTGATAGTGATCTGGGTGTTGTGGGGGGCATGGATGGACCTTCATTCTCAGATGAGACTGAAGAAGATTTATTTTCTATGTACCTTGACATGGATAAATTCAATGCAACTTCTGCAACATCAACATTTCAAATGGGGGAACCATCTTCTGCAGCGGCTCTGGCACCAGCACAGCCAACCTCCTCTTCTGAGAACACGGCCCCTGCTTCTACTGAGAGGCCAAGAGTTAGACATCAGCATAGCCTGTCAATGGATGGGTCTACTACAATTAAGCCAGAGATGCTTATGTCGGGTATGGAAGAGAACTCTGCTGCTGATTCCAAGAAAGCGATGTCTGCTGCTAAGCTTGCTGAGCTTGCACTCATTGATCCAAAGCGTGCTAAAAGGTAACTTTAAAGAATCATTTTCTGTTTATTAGTTTTTTTTGTTTGATAAGTCATTTTCTGTTTATTAGTTAGTTAGTCTTTCTCTCTTATACTATTAGCTTTTGACCTTAAATGAGTTGGTTAGAACAATGTAGTTACTTAAACCCAGGAAATAGCCCAAAACAAAATCACTTTACTGGTATTACTTTCGTGTCATATCAATTTCTGAAATTCACTTATCTAATTGAATACATGTAGTTCTATGCCGTTATTACTTCTGCCGTCTTGATTTGTCTTCCATGTTTTTACCATCAAGGTGTTTTCGTAAAATTGATGCTTCATTATTTCTTCTTTTTCCTTTCATTTTCCTTTACAATTATGCCATTCCTATAGTGTTTTATATTCAAATGCATATCAATTTTACTTTATTGCTTTTGAAGATAATTGTATTGTGGAATGTCAAACTGAAGCATATTTGATCAGTACTTCACATTTGTTACACCTACCCGTAAAAGTTCTCTAATTATATGAGGCCATCACCTTAAGAAGATTTGAGCAACGTTGGTTCTAGGTGGTAAACTGGTGTAAATATGGTTAGATGGGAGCAAGACAAAAGAGGAAATCTAATGCCTAGGTCAATGTATTTTACCGTTACAAAAATGGTATTTGCATAGGAAATGCTTTTAATTTACTGCTAATTTGGAGTATGCTTGTAAACTCCCTTTGGGGGATGAATAATGAACCGATATGAAGTGATTTTATTCTCTACACAATTGTGGTGGGTTTTCTATATGGGTTAATTTTTTTTGTACAATTGGATAATTGTTACAATCACCTTAAGAATATTTGAGCAATGTTGGTTCTAGGTGGTAAACTGGTGTAAATATGGTTAGATGGGAGCAAGACAAGAGAGAAAATTTACAGCCTAGACTCCTTCCTTAAGGTAACTAGTTGAACAATGAAAATGAAAATCTATTGTCTACTTCTACATCATACATAATGAAGTAATTGATGATTGTCTATCTTGAAAATACGAAGTGATCTACGGTCTACCATGGAAGTTAATTATTTTTTGTTGAATGAGGTAAACAAATTGCAAACTTCAACTTGTTTTGCTATGTTTTTATAGCACCAAAATCAATTTCATCATATTTATATGTTGCTTCTTGTATGATCTAATACAGAGATGACTGCAAAATATTGCTTCTGAGTCGGTCTTTTAGTTGCTTTCTTGTTGACCTAGTATAAGGGATGACTTCGTATCATTCTCGAATCTTTTCTTTATTCTCTTTGGCTATGAACCCTTTTCTTCATCACACTGTAATTGATCAAAGGTTGAAGCTATACATGGAATCCATTTTAGAATATGGAAATTCACATAGTTAAACTGTACTGATTTGCAACCAATCTAGGCTTATCATTTTGTTATTACGCCAGTCATTTCTATATGCTCCTTGATGTTGGTCTTTTGAAATTTTTGATTAGTAAAGTCACATAGTGAGAGAATGTTAGAGGGGCCGTGCTTGTAAATGAGTCCTATGTAAGAAGAAAACCTCTATACTTCTGCAAAGAAACAAAATAAACCTTGTCTATGGTCAACTCAACAAAGTATTTTCTCTTACTTTTTTGCCATTTAGATCTAAGGTTGTGACTTTAGTTAAACCAAATGCTATCATATCTTTCCTACCTTATTTCAATCCTTTTTGGTTTTGGGTTTCCCTTTCCTCTACCATTGCCCTCAATAAGGACAATCTCACTTTTCGTAAAAGTGCAGATATTAACCATCGTCTAAGCAATCTTCTTTGATTATCTCTCATTTTATCTCCAATCGGTACTTCTTCGAGCATCTCAAGAATGTGTTCATTTCTATTTCTTTTTCCTTTTTTGTCTTACACCATTACCTGCCTTCTTTTCATACTTACTACTCCGCTGCCTCTGCAGCTATGAAGTAAATAGGTCACTGATTTGGAAAACATCCAAGGAAAGCAACTATGCTACTGTTTTAGAGCTCTTAAGCTAGATCTAAGGATTTGGAAATGCTATTGGAGAGATACGTGACATTTGGAAAACAAATGAAAAAAGAGTGAAGTTTTGGATTCAATAAGTTTTTATGGTCGTTATGGAGCTGTAACACTTGTCCTGACCATTAATATGATTGTGACCATTATAACCAGGCATAATGGTAATATAACATGGTAATATAACCTTGTGTTCATCGTTACACATGGGTCATTATGCCCTATAACAGCTGTTATATAAAACCTTGTATTGTATTGAAGGGAGGAAAAATCCTAAATCAGTGACTTATTTGTTTTGGATGGATATATTTAAAATATATCATGTAGAAAAGTTTCAGTTTTTATCCATTGGCTTTTCAAAAAATGACGTTTAATTTGGGATAGAAGGAGTGCTATGTTAATTATATTGCCGACAACGTCATTAGATCCAATGTAAAGGCCTTCAGGCTCTTGGTCATATTAAATTGTTGAAAATTTTATTATTTGATTAGAAATATTGAAAGTTCAAATCATTGTTACACTAGAATTGGAATATCCAAATATGCGTATCAATATCCAACGAGAAAAGAACATGTATATCGGTATATTTTAGGGAGAATTAGGCAACCTCTAGGGGTTGTGCCTTGCATTACTTACATTAAACTTACAACAAGCTAGACAAGGACTATTTATCTCTATTGCATTCCAATCACTATCTTTTTATTGTTTGACTACCACTCAAAACTATTCTTCTAGGCCAAAATCTACATAAATAGTTCTCCATTGGTTGGTTGAACAAAGTCACGAACTAAATCCATTAATACCCAAACCTCCAACTCAACGATCCTATTGTAGTCGACAAGGTGTAGTTTGAACTCCGCTCTTTTGTGTAATGTTACCTTTTGGGATCATTCTAAAGTGATTGGGTTGTTGAAAATTGAATGCAAGTGTTCTGCCATTTTGTTTGTATTGGTTTCACTGGTAAACTTAACAGTTATATGAACAATTGCCTTTTCTATGTGATGGCACTAATATCCAGTTTTATTGTCAATATTACTCAATATTTCTTCCTTTTTCATTTTGTAAAACTTGAACTTTCTTCCATATGCATATAATGATCTACGACCTCCCAACAAAAATGGTAAAATCCTTGCAGGGGAAAAAGAAAGAAAAGGAAAAATGAAAGTATTAATCAACTTTTCTGAAATTGAGGCCATTCTACACGTCTTTCTTAAGGGAGATGCCAGGGAGACAAATGGTCATCTTCTGTCTATTTTGTGGTTCCTTGTGCTACCCTTTTTGGTTAGTTCTGTTCTATTATTACACCCAGGGAGGCAAATGGTCCTCTTTCTTCTATTTTGTGGTTCCTTGGTCTAAATTTTTGGTCATCGTCCTGTTATGAGTTTGGTTCTCTTATGACATCCATATACTATACTGTTGCCGTTTCCATGTTTTGACGTTCCAGAGGGGAGAGTTTGTGAGATAGTGCCTTCACTATATATTTTAGTTAGCTGTAAAGGAAGACCATTAAGGAGTTTTGTTTACGTTTGGCATATTGTAGAGACGGAACTATTTTATTTATTTTAAATAAACAATGGGCTATTGCTTTAACTGTTCTTAAAGATATTCACATCTTATTCGACATATTATTTACCTCTTCAGAATGGGTTGGCTGCCCTTCTTTTCTCTTGTTAGTCAAGTTTGCTCACAATGTGGATTTACTACCTACAACAGTTATGGATTTATTCCTTCTCTCGGGCTACCTCATCTTGTAGTTGATGCTTTATTTTCTTGAAGCTTTGGCGTTTCTTGTCATATTGTCTGTTTTAATCCATTTTAGTTATTTTTCTCTCATCTTTCCTTCCTCTTTAATCAAAATTTTTTCCCCCCTTTCTCATTATCTCCTTTATTTGTTCTTGGTTGATAGATTTGTTCCTTACCAAGAAGACAAAATTGCATAATACCTTTCTGTATATTACATTATTTATATACCTGTGCATATTTACTATGCGTTGTAGGATTTGGGCAAATAGGCAGTCGGCTGCAAGGTCAAAGGAAAGGAAGATGAGGTATATAGCTGAGCTTGAGCGAAAAGTCCAGACTCTGCAGACAGAAGCGACCTCATTGTCTGCTCAATTAACCCTGTTGCAGGTCAATACCTCTCATAACTGCATACTAATTTTAAGATTCTAGTTGATGTTACTTGGTTATATGTCGTAATAATTGAATTACTCTGTTGTATGGAAAATGCTCCTAATTTTTCCAGTTTGTTGTCCTCACTCTCCTTATAAGTTCCTGTTCAGAAATATCTGGTATATAAAACCATGGTTATGGATATGACAATTTTATTTATTTATTTTTTTCTTAATGGCTTTCTCATGAATAGAGAGATACAAATGGTCTGACTGCGGAGAACAGTGAGCTGAAACTGCGTTTGCAAACAATGGAGCAACAGGTTCATTTGCAAGATGGTAAGGGGCTTCCCTAATTATTATCTTTTCTGGCGCTGATATTTTTTTCTGTAAACTGCACTCCCCCACCTCCTCTCTTTTTGTTACACCTTCTTGTACCTTTATTTTAAATCCTTATGGTGGGAAATCTCCATATTGGAAGCCGTACAGCCTTAGTCCCTTAGTTTCAAATATTTGGCATGGAGAAGGCCACAGCATGTGAGATGGAACACAATATGGGACACATTAACTTCCATAAACAATAGGAGACGTGGAACTGTGCTTAATCTTTCTCAATTTGTAGTGTGTCAACTGAGCAAGGTATCAGCATTTTGATCTATAAGAACACTCGTAGAGCCCAAGCTTTTTTTAAAATTAGTTTTCTCAAGAATATAAGTAAATTATGATCTAAGCAATAGCTCTTATTAATTATTTACATTACATTGTTTGTTAACCGAAATTTTTAAAATTATAAGGAAGTTGGGGAGAGAGGGAGATAGAGAGGGGTTTTGAATGTCCAAAATTTTAAATACCTACCATTTTTTAGATATGCATGGGACAATTGTATTTAGCTGAACTGCTAAAACCTGAGTTGGTGAAACAACTTATGGGTGTTGAGTACTCTCCACATTGGCCTCGTAGAAGTTGAAATAACGTGTCCTGTAATGAGATCTTTTTTATAATACATATTCTTAACGATTTTGAATGCAGCATTAAATGATGCCCTGAAAGAGGAGATCCAGCATCTGAAAGTACTGACTGGCCAAACTATTCCAAATGGTGGAACTATGATGAACTTTCCTCCTTCCTACGGGGCCAACCAGCAATTCTACCCTAGTAACCAAGCTATGCACACACTGTTAACAGCACAGCAGTTTCAACAGCTTCAGATTCAATCTCAGAAGCAGCAGCAGCATCACTTTCAACAACATCAGTTACACCAGTTTCAGCAGCAACAACTGCAACACCAGCAGCAGCCCCAACAACAGCTGCAGCAACAGGAACAACATCCGCAACAAACTATGGACTTAAAAATGAGAGGTTCCATGCCGTCTCCGAGCCATATGGGAAAGGCTTCAGAAAATTAATCCACCTGCGTAGAAGAATTGAGTTGAGAAATAGGCATGTTGGCCCGGTATTGAGAATCAGTGGTTGTCCAAAATCTTGTGTCACATTTTGTTGTCAAATAGATCAACTGTCTTTTTTTTAGATTGAATTTATATAGCTTTTTTTGGGGTCCTAGGCTGGTAAGTTTGAATTTAGTTGTTAAATATTGGGTTGGGTTATTCATTCATATGTTGTAGTTATGGAACACATTTTTTGTTTTTCCCCTGCAATTTAAAGAGAGTCCTGTTGTATTTGTTGAAATATTTTCGGATTTTTAGAATACAGTTACAAATTGGACTTACCGGTTGTGCGCCATTTCTGAACCTTGGGACTTTCCTGGGCTTGGTATTACAAGCCTAATCTGAATTTAGGCTGGGTTGCAAGAAAATGGCCAACCCAAAAGGCTGCTGAAATCAGAAAATTGCCAAACGAGGGAGAAGGAACTCTAAAGCAAAAATGGAGATGGGCAAATTCAATTCTAAAGCAACTTCTTCAATGGAACATTTGCATTTTGGCATTTTCTGACTTGATATGAGATGACTTCTAATAGAATAATTAATTAACTGAGTCAGTCTAGAATGGGACGAGGTGGAGGAAGGTGTTGGCGGCGGCGGTGGTAGAAGGCAGTGGAAGGTGGTGGTAGTGGCGGAAGGCGGTGGTGGTGGAAGAAGGCAGTGGAAGGTGGTGGCATTGGTGAAAGGCAGTGGTGGAGGAAGGTGTTGGCGGCGGCGGTGGTAGAAGGCAGTGGAAGGTGGTGGTAGTGGCGGAAGGCGGTGGTGGTGGAAGAAGGCAGTGGAAGGTGGTGGCATTGGTGAAAGGCAGTGGTGGCGGCGACTTGGAATGTGATGGTTTTTTAGAAATTTGATTTTTTTAAGTTTTTCTTGGGAAAGTAATGACTATTCCATCGGTTTAGATGTCCAATGATAGGAATGGATATTCTATTCCATTCATGCATACTAGATGGCAATGAGATTTCAGTATCACTATAAAACACACCACAAATATTAGAAACTTTAAAATTGGTTTATTCTTGGTAAAGCTTTTCCTGCATACCTAACCATAGATTAATAAAACTGTGATTAGGAATAGTAAGATCAAACTACACCAAAGAATTCTAAAAAACTGACTGAGAAGAGGGTTAGAGTTTTCCGAGTATGGGAAAAAGAAAAATTTATGGTTAGGGGAAGGTTTCAACACCACCTGACTACCTCCTCTTGGTTCTGACAAGGAGGGGAAAAAGATGATGGGTTAGCATGGAAACTAAAGTTTGAAAAGAGCTTGGAAGGGGGCATTGATCCCCATTAGTAAATTTCTGAATAATAATAGTATAAAAGTTATCCAATTATTATATTGGTCCCGGCTCAATCACTGGTTAACACGCAAGTAAATGTGTTAATTTTGTATTAACTTTATTCAACTTTTTGCTTGCATGTTGGCTAATGATTGGTCAGGATGGTACTGGGACTATGAAATAATTTCTCTCTTTGGAATAACAAAGAGATGTGGGCAAAAGGGTCCCTTGTCCCAGCCCCTTGACATTAGAAAAGAAACCACAAAGCTCTTCATTAATGGAGGTGTGTTCATATTGTTGTATACCTCACATATGTTTTTGTTGCATCATATTTTGTAGACTCTTCTATCATTTTTCCAATCTCTCATTTTTTTTTCAGTAATTGAAATAAATTGTTGCCAAACCATCCCTTCACCTTCTGTAAAACAAAAAAAAAAAAAAAAAACAAATACACAAAAAGAAAAAAGAAGAAGAAAAGATCTGTTGGACTGTGATTGCTCAACAATAGCTAAACTATCCATTATTACCAACTACATATAGAACACCAATTTATAACACAGTAACAGTATAGTTACACCAGATCACAAATCAACACACTCAACTAAAACAACTTCAAACACTAATAAGATAGGAACACCAATTTTATTACACAGGAACAAAAGCCAACACAAGTCCCAAGCCATTTCAATTACCAATATAGATACACCAGATCATAAATCAACACACACCCAACTAAAACAACTACAAACACTAACAGGAAGCTCTCACATCAAAATGAACAATGCTTTTTTAAGGGTAAGGGAGGGTGGCAATGTGGTTATGAGCCACAGTCCCAATCCACAACTTCCCATTCCTCTCCCTCACTTCACTTACTAGCTTCATCACTTTCCCCTTCTTGTCTTCTAGAACATCCAGAACCTCCCCCTTCTCATTGAAGAGTGACACCACTGTGTACATCCTCGTGCCCACAAACCTGGCCAAGTACCTCATTCTAACAGGCAGCCGGAAGTATATGCTCCTCATCCAAGGGTTGTGAACAAAAACCTCCTGTGCTTTAGTCCGGCAACAGTCTATCGCCACCCAGAACTGACCCTTTTCGTTGAGCCTAACGTTGTCTGGGAAGCCCGGTAGGTCTGCAACGACCTCGATGCTGCCGGTTCTTGGACCCTCTAGCCAGTATTTCATTAGCCTGTGGCATGACAGCATAATGTAATTAGCGTTTACAAAATTAACTTAAAAAATATTTTAACTGAGGGTTCACTGTGAATTATCCCAGCTTAGGGCCTGTCTGGCAACCGTTTTTGTTGCCACATTAGTGGAAAACAGAAACACATGGTGAAAGTGTGTTTTGGTAAAATTTGTTACCTTTGGCACACTATTGCATCTGTTTCAGAAAAAAAGGCCCAAATTTGAAAGCAAGAAAAAGATGTTTTCATTTGCTTTTACTAATGCAGCTAAACAATTGTAGAGAGATTCTTCTAAAAAAAGCCAATATAATGTAAATACTTTTTTTTTATACAATCATCCAAACATCTTGAATTGTGTGTACAACAAATATATTATATAGTTTATAGTTACCAAACATTTTTTTATCTTGGAATAAATCACAGCACAACAAAACATTGCTTCTGTTTCGTGTGAAATATAGACCGCAAGCCCTTAGTGACAATCTCGAGTTGTGTGTGTATAAAGAGAGAGAGAGAGGGAGGGAGTTCCAATACCTGCAATTGGTAGTCTCAGTGAAGAGAAGAAAGGATTGATCTTTAGATAATTGTACTCCATTTGGAAAAGCCAAGCCATCCAACACAACATGAGTTGTTCTTGTTGGAGGATCATATCTAAGTAGCCTACCAGTGTCTTCTCCTTCTAACAATATAAAGAAATGTTTCCTAAAACCAAAGTTTCTCAAATTACACCACTTAATAAAACATAAATCACAATACAGAAATAAAAGATATAAATCAATAGACTCACACTCTGTTGTACTTCTTGCTTGTATCTGTGAAGAAAATGGAGCCATTCTTATGGATGTCAAGGTCATTAGCAAAGAGTATAGGCTTCCCTTCCACATGGGTGGCCAAAGGAGTGGCAACACCTCCTTCAGGCCCCACAACCAGGAGGCCATAATAAGCATCTGCTATGTACAAATCACCACTCACTCTGTCGAATCTCAGGCCGAGGGGGCGGCCACACTTAGCCTCGTGTTTCCATTGCTTGGCCGTGCTCGAGTCCTTTCCTTTAGCACACAGTTTCTCTGACCTTTTGAGGTACATTATAATTCTAATTAGCAACATTAGTCAAGAAAAAAGCAAACAGTATTGTGTGCACATGTTATATAATAGATTTTGACGTTATCAGACCCTTGCTTCTCAAAGGGAGGTTAGGGTTCAAGCCTCAATGGAGGTATATGTGTGCGAGTACCAACTAAGGAAAAAAAAAAAAAATTATAATAGATTTTGGAGCTCACCAGTTTCGAGTAACGACTGCAAATGTTTCCCACCCTCCATCTTCACCCATCCACCTCACAATGCGGCCATCAGCTAGCCCAGAGTAGGGGCCACGCCCCCGGATATCAAACTCAAGCGATTCGGGGCCAAAAACTTCGTCCTCAAACTCCAAGTTCCCTTGTCCTAACCTGCTCTGGTTGTCTCTAGGCCAATTCTCCATGACTTGCTTGTATGGTGCAATGTCATTCTTCACTGGCCTGAAGTCAATGCCTCCTATTGGACTCATTTTAAAAGGGTCCATGACAATCATGCCCAAAGCAAGAACGAGGAGGAGGAGATATGGATGTTGCAACAGAACTTCGTCTTTGAGTTTGATTCTCTTCTCCATGGTGGAGTGTTTGGCTAGAGAGAAAGAGGGTGGAGGGTGACATGTTATAAGGTGAAAGATGCATGCATTATTTGTGATGGCTTTGTGGTTGCATGTGAGTAGGTTGTCTGTTGTTGGACATGATTTTCGCATTCTTTGTGATTGTTGGGAAACAAAACAGAGGCTGACATTTAATGAATAAGAAAGTATGCAAGATTCTAAGCTTTATTGTAGTCATGTCCTTTGAAGATGGTGACTAGTAACTGACTCTAGCAGTCACCATACCGTCATCCTACCCAAAGCAGCACCAATTGGTATATGTTTAGCTGTGGTCTGAGTTCTTGTTGGCCGGGGTTGCAACGTACCGAGCTTAAATAATATGTGTGAATTATTGAATAATTTGTATTCGGAGTTTTACAAATTATTGAATTCCAAAGTATAGGGGTTATTTGATTATTCTACCAAAAAAAGTAGGTAAAATTTTTTGACTCGTTTTTTTGGATGAGTTTCAATATCGTTTTTAGTCTCTATTTAAACCGATACATAAAACCTATTAAAAATTCCAAAGTAAAAAGAGATAAATGTGTGTATTTGGTGGTTTGAAAGACTTATACATTTCTTTTCTAATTCACATAGAGAAACCTGTTAATGTCTTTACTGCATACAAATGCTGTAAGTCGAATCATGTTAAATCTCCGTGTTTAGTTGATGCGTGAGGTTGTTTGTGTGCTTTGTTGCAATTTATCACCACAGTTCCATATTTGATGTAATGATACTAATTCTAAGGAGTTGGTTCAGGTAGGTAAGAATTTGATACTGGTGCCTCAAGAAGTATAAGGTGTAAGGTTCGATTTCTCTCAAGTGTAAACAACTCCTTGTGTGTGTGAGATGGGAAGGGGTGTATGGCTATCAACTAAAAGGGAAGAAGATGTAATGGTATTAGAAATATATTTGTGTTGAGAATCAGCTACTACGTGCACCCAAATTGGGCATTTGGTCCCATCGCTACAGAGGGAAGCCAAGTGCTCACATCCTTGACCGAGCTTTTGGAGATGCCAACCCTTTTCGATTGAGGTATCGCGATTAATCAACATGTGCTCTGCGGACATACAAGGTAATCAAAACATTTAATTCTCTAAAAACGGATGTCCCAAATTGTCACATTGGCAAAGTATCCCCTTCCTCTATTGGTGATGCAATTTGAAGGTCCCATCAACGCTAGCTTTCCACCGTTCTCCCAAAGACTCTTATTGGCTTGCACCGAGAATATTGCATCTCGGACGACCACATGGAAGCCAATTCAAAAGCCGACCTTGCTCGGGCTTGCAATATAAATATAACGCATTTATATATGAGCAAAGGTCTTGCACGAATACACCTCAAGATACATATCGTCCTTAATGGACTTTTAACACTTTGTTCTATTTTAAGCCTGCTTCTACAGTGCAGCTCTAGGATCATTCTTTGCACGTACTCGCTTTCAGTCGTATAACAATGTTAATTGTTTCCTTCAAGCATTTGTGTTTACTGCTTTCTTTAGTGTAGTCATCACTCTCAGTTGTTAGTTAAGCTTCAAACTTACTGATATATTCATGGACTGCATTTCGGGCCTACCCTTGATGGAATGTAACTATGGCCTAAATGTTGTACCTTACAAGAAATTATAATAAATTTTCATAATACTTTCTGAGTTAATGTCGAAAAGGATATTGTTTGCTTATAAGTGTTGTTAATCGGACCGTTTGGCCTTTATCCCTATATCATCAACAAGAAAACGATAAAATAGCACTTTAACTCATTCAGTATTGCCTTTGAATTATGGTCGAGATGATCAGAGAACCAGTGAAAGAGTCATTCCTGCTTTCCACAGTTGTCCGGGTAAGATAAGGCACATGCTATGAGGCCCCAGTCGACTATTGCAAACATGAGTAATAGCTTGGCTCCACCAGCTTAGCTGCAAATTTAAACTCCGAATAAATTTGACACACCTGCGCACACAGTGAAATACCAAATATACTCAGAGGGGCACATTTTGAGCCCTTATATATCAAAGTGTAAATTCTAATAACTAGTATTTATAATTTGGGATCATTAAGACAGTAATTACTCACTTCTATACCGCAGATCCCAGATCATAAATATTTTAGGGTAAATTGTAAAAACTCTCCTCAACTTTCATGATTTTGTAAATTATATCCCTCATCTTTTATTTTTCACATAACCCCATAAAGTATTAAAGAAATATTACAAATCAACCCCTTAATAAAAGTAAGGGGCATAATTACAAAAGTATAAAAGAAATAATTGTTTGTGGACAATTATGAAATGGACGGAATAGGATCATGTGCATATTACATGCGATTTTTTAAGTTGTAAAATTTCACTAGTACCCTTTTGGGTAAACTGCAAAAAATCCCCTCAAATTTCATAAATTTGTAATTATGCCCCTTACTTTTTTTAAGAAATGCTACAAACAAACCCTATTGTTTGGGGTAAGTTACTATTAGTTCATTTTGCTAATCAACTGGCCATCAATTTAGGCACCTTCTCTATTTTTTTTTTTTGGACAAATGTTGCGAAGTTAATGTGAGTTTGGGACCTCAAATGACACCGTTAAAACACCCAGGTTGACATCAACTCCAAATTGGGTTCTGATTATTGTTTTAGGTCTCTCTTTTGACATCAAGGAGTTCCAAAAACAAGTCCACTCCGCAAAGGTGGATTTTTATCATTTGACAGCCTTTCAAATTGTTCCGAATGTTGGATCATGGAATTTAGTTGAAATCAGGCCTAATTAAGATTTAGGATACATTATGATTCCAACCGACATGGGAAATCTCCTATCATATAATATAAGACTAAAACAACAAAGAATCTCATGAAGGCTCAACATGCACTGACAAACATTTAAAAAAAATCATACGAAACCATACATAAGTATGAATACGCGGGGTGTGTAACACATTCTTCATGTATAATAAGATATTTGAGTTCATTAATTTAGTTTGTTAGACCATATGATATCATCACATATGACCACTGCATTCAACCATAAGAACATCCTCCATGCAAGGATGTTGTAAGAAAAATTAGGTGCGATAGAACTCTTCATAGTTAGTGAGATGTCGACCTTGTGTTCATTTGTTAAGTAAAAATAATTTAATTCGAGTATTTCAAACTCATGAAATAATAAGTTAAATTCATACGACGCATACTTAACTCAACTTAACTCAATTTATTTAAATTTACAACGATTTCAAAATAAAATAAACTCAAATTTAATTTTAAAATTACTAAATAATTAATATGAGTTGAGACGGAGTTCAACCAATGGTTTAACAGCCAAACCAAGCTTCAAACACTCATATTTGACCTCCATTTGATCCCTAGTTTAATTGTCAAGCTCAAGCTCAAATAGTAAAAAATTTGCTAGGCTCCTCAATTTCAAATAAAGCAGTGGAAACTCAACACATCGAATATGTCTTGTGAAGGTATTTTGGTAATATTAAAAAATTAAAAGAGACTGAAATTTACAATAACTTTTTTTTTTTTCTTTTTTTATTGTTTCTTTTGTTTTTAATTTTTTTTTTTTAAAACTGTATATTATTTGATAATAATTGGGAAGCTAGAACTAAAAAGGTCTCCCATGGGAATATAAAGAGTACATAACGTGTAAGCTCCGCGTCTTGTACCTTTCCAATAAATCGAATTTCTTGGCCGATTGGGTTTTGCCAGCGGAAAAAACAAAGGGTTAAAGATACCCACTAATATTATCTGTTGGTCAAAAACAAAGATTATTAGTTTCTAATTAATTAAGAAAAAAGAAAAATGCTTTTACAAGAACCCTCCTTCTAAAGAGCTTCTCTTTTGTTCTTTATTATATCTTTAATTTATACGAGTATATAAATTCAAATCTAAATTCCCCACCTTAAACAACCCACAAATCAGAGATTGCACAGAGAGAGAAAGGTACGATGTTCTTAATTGATCTTTGTTCTTCTATCTATTTTCTGTATGTTGGCTGTTCTTTGATTGTGCATTTGATTGTTTGATTGATTTGTATGTCACTTTTTTCCTCTTCTAATTTTGTTGGTAATTGGGTTTCTTGTGATCTTTGTTTATGTAGATCTGCATATTTTTCCTCTTCTATGTCTGTTGGTAATTGGGTTATTGCCCTCTTTGTTGATGTTGTTCTTCTTGTTTTCTACATATACATACAGATATTCAATATGTAAATTTATAGATTTTTTTTTTTTTGTGTATATGGTTTTAAAAAACCCTAAGTCCAAATGATCATCTTATTTTACTTATTGAAAAATTAGTAGGGTTGATTTTTCTGAAGGTTCATTTTTTTTAGGAGTGGAGAAGTTCTGGAAAACATTTGTGAAAGGAAAAAAATGTATAATTTGTAGGCTTGTAAAAATAAAATTATAATAAAAAATCTTCAAGAGAAGGAAAACATGGGTGTGCTTGCTGTTTGGGTGCTTTTCTAATAAGCTTCACTTTTCAAAAAAAAAAAAATTTCAAGAGAAGAAAAGAAAGCTTGTTGAGATATATAGATTGACTGGTTTAGTTTAATGATTCTATTTTATTTTAAATTCCCAGAAACTCTTTTATACCTCATTGGGACAAACAGAGCAGTGGATATCTAGTAGTGGAGTTCATTGTTCTTTCTCATGTCTAATGCCCAAAAGTTGCAGATGCATCTTGTAAATCCTTGATGTTCAGTTTACACACTTTCACAAAGACTACATTTACACACACACAAACATGTATGCATATATATAAATATATGTATATTCACATGTGCACACATAGGTATCACCAAGCATTAAAATTTTTTTTTTTTTGAATCACAGTATTACTTAGTCTTCCTAGTGAGCTAATCATTGATACAGGAGAATTGCCTTCTTTGAGGTGCATCAATTGATGATGATAAAATATAATCCTAGGTTGCATATAGTGATTTGATTGATGACAAAGGAAGAGAATTCTTGGTTCAATTTTCTACCTTAGCGACCGAAAAATGGGAAAAAAGAAAAAGATTGATCAAATACTATTGAGTATGAATCATAATGATCATTTATCAAAAAATCACTATAGTTATTAGATGATTGAACAATCTGGAGCAATTTACTTAAGATACTTAGTTGACATCCATAAAAAGTATTGAATGAATTATAAGTTCAATACATCCTATTTAGCGGAAAGATGGAGTAAGACTTCTATTTGTTTATTGTAAGAGTTTTCTTTCATACTCCTATTATTTAAAAAATAAAAATCACGGGGCATGTAACTCAGGCAACCTGCTGTGTTAACATTGATCACCAATTGGTTGTAACTTCTATAATGATATCAACCCTTCCATTCTGGAACATGTTCGAAACTCCATTGTTTGCTTAAAATAAAAAGCAATTAATGGTATCCCTCTGTTGGGTAGTGGAGAGAGAGAGAGGTATTAATATCCTCCATGTCCAAATAGTTTTATAAGTGAATAGAATATCCTCCATGTACAAATAGTTTATAACTGAATAGTTACAAATCTGAAGTCTGAACCACTCAATAAAATTCTTCTGTTCACTAATATTAGGCGGTCTCTTATTATTATTTTTTTTTCCCTAAATGGATGTGGTTTTATTGAAGCATAAAATAGTTGAGTACATATAGCACAGAGGGCATACCCTCAGGAAAACAAAGCCAGCAAGCAAACTGAAAACATGTTTGCTCTAAACAGAAAGATCTATAAGAGTAGAGCAGCATCACCAATAGGAATCTTGGCAGCTTCAAACACCTCAAAAAGAACAGACTTTGCAAGCTCACAGGCCTGTTTTGAGGAGCCATTGTCACCCTTGTGCACCCTATCATTCCTTTCAGTCCACAAGGCATGAACAGTGGTTGAGAACAGCATCCTACCAATCTTACCATGTAAAGCATTACCAGTACAAAGTAGTAGCAATCCCTTCAGCCAACATCATCAGGCTATGGACTTTAGCCCAATTCCAATGAAGCAAATCTGCAAACCAGTGCCAGACAGCAGCAACAAACGTCAAGTGGAGGAAAATATGATCTCTAGAGTCTTCGTCCCAGAAACAGTTATGGCAAATTGCTATAACAGGCAAGCCTCTTTTCTTGAGAAGGAAGGAAGCTTATCATGTAACGCAAGGCAGGTTGTGAAAGAGAGTCTTGGTCTGCCTGAGTTCCACACCAACTGAGCCCAGTGCACTGTGGTTATGATGCCTACATTGCTTCCAAGCTTTACTAAAGGTTAGTGCACCATTCTGCCACATCACCCTGTCCTGTTCATCTGCATAAATGTGGAATGAAAACAAGAAGTTCTTCAGGTTGGTCAATTCAGAAGCAGACAGTACAGAGAGATTCCAAGCACCATTTAACATTAGAGCACTTAGTTTAGAATCTGTCAACCTGCAAAAGCCTGAAAATTCTATGGCCATATCTCTGTTTCAGAATCAATCCAGAGCACCATGGGTCATCATATAACAGAAGAGTGTCCCCATTCCCAACCCTATAAGAGATCCCCTTCAGCAACACATCCCTAGTATCCACAATATCTTTCCAAATCTGAGTGTGTGCAGCAGCAGGTGTGCAGGTCCAGAAAGATGTATGGTCTCTTATTGGAATTTCATTTTCAGGCACTTCTATTTGTAACAATGAGACGATGAAATGTGGTATGCAAAACTGTGAAGTAGGGACCTGCGGTCTGGAAACAGGACATGCCATTGAGTGTTGTAGAATCTTGGAATTGTAAAAAAACCAAACACATAGATTCTGTACAGAAATTTTTAGGCAGAGTGTTTTTGTTGTAAGTCAAACAAGGTCAACGCTTTGCTTCCATTTTTACTTTCTACTTTGGTTGTTATATAAATGCATTATCATATGTCTAGCCTGGGTCCCTGGGAAAAATGAAATTTTTGTAACAAAAATACTATGAGGACCAAAATACTAATAATAATGCAGTTGAGTTATTAACACTTGGTAACAGAAGCCAACTAAAAGCAATTGATGTATTATTGGGCAGAAAAACCTACATGCAATGCAATTGTTTCCAAATAAGTACAAAGGGGATCTCATTAACAACTTACTTTTTAATTCTATTTATTGCACTGCGGTTACAAAGCACAACTGTATATAAATAAGGCTTCTAAAAGAAGCTCTCTCTGTCTTAAAGCCTGTTTCACGAAAGGATAAATAGATCTTCATTCTTCTGCAATGTTTTTCTTTCTGTAAAACATATGGTTAGATACTATATAATGAAATTATCAAGCCATTTGTTCAGTTCTCTTTTAATTTAATGCAGTCTTTTTATTGCTTGGATGTATGGGCTGTTTTTAGAGGAGGAAGGTAGTCATACTCTTCTTTTTTCCATATTTACTTCCTGACTATATCTTAAATTTTTTCCAAACAGGCAATTTTGTTTGGATATGGCCAACCCTGATGATAAAAATGACCATGAATGGATGGAGAGAGTGAAATCAGGAGGAGCTGTTCCACTTCTCGAACCTGATAACTGTGCAAATGGTTGGGCTTCTCCATCTGGAGATATATTCAAGGTAAGAGGGCCTGACTACTTTTCAAGCAGGGTTAAAATTCCTGGCGGTGAGTATCTTCTGAAACCTCTTGGTTTTGACTGGATCAAAAGTTCTACAAAGATTTCAGAGGTCTTAAATAATCCAAAACATCGAGTTAGGAGGGCTATTGATGAAGAATATCCAACAGGTGATAAGCCACTTGTTTGGGCTTTCAACCTACAAGTCCCAAGCAAGGACAATTACTGTGCTGTTGCATATTTTGTAGCCTTGGAGCCTATCCCTGAGGGGTCTCTGATTGATCAGTTCTTGAAAGGGAATGATGCGTTTAGGAATTCACGGCTTAAATTAATTGCCAACATTGTCAAAGGACCTTGGATAGTGAGAAAAGCAGTTGGGGAGCAGGCTATATGTGTAATTGGACGAGCACTTACTTGCAAGTATTGTATAGTAGACAATTTCATAGAAGTAGATATAGATATTGGATCTTCCATGGTGGCGAGCGCAATTGTTCATGTGGCTTTTGGTTACTTAACAACGCTTACTGTCGATCTTGCTTTTCTTATTGAGGGCCAAACTGAATCAGAACTTCCTGAACGAATTTTAGGAGCTGTAAGATTCTCCGAGCTGAATACTTCTTTAGCTAGGCCGGTTGAACTTTTATCTGAAACGAGCACTGGTACTTTGCAGTCTTCTCTGTCCACGCGATTATTGAAGTCAATAGGGAAGGGTTTCTCGAATCTTATTCATCCAGGCGTTCAGGAAAGCAGCTCCCTCAATGGTTCATCACATGTTCAGGAAAGCAGTTCCCTCAATGGTTCATCCCATGTTCAGGATAGCAGCTCCCTCAATGGTTCATCCCATGTTCAGGAAAGCAGCTCCCTCCATGGTTCATCACATGTTAATGGGGTTGTTAATCATGCAGAATCCAATGAAGACATAAGGAAATGGTAAGTATTGTGGTTATGCTAAATTTTTTTCGAATTGATGATGTGAAGACAATTAGATCTTAAGCCTAATTGCTTTTGACAATGAGTGTGTCTGTGATTAGGGCACTCCTAGCTCACTGAGTGCACCTCATCATAGCATTAGCCTTCGACAGAACTCTAGTGCCATTTGTCTTCAGTACCCAATTATGGCATCCTAATCTTATGTGGTGTGTCACCTTCACTGAGAGAAACTGAAAGTAAATATTTTCTTCACCTCATAATATATTAATATATAACCAACAGTTATGAGCATTTGTGGTAAAGCCCTTATTTACCATTGTTGGTACACTGCAATTTTCTTGTTTCTGTCTTCCATCAAATCCGATTGAGCCTTAGCCTTGGGCCACCAATTTTGGCCAAAAATATATTTTTCTATACAGAAGCAGGCTTTATGCACATAATTTAGGGATTATTCTATTCATGTCTGGGGAAGACATACATTATTCTTTACTCATTCTAAAAATTCTTTGTTCTTGTTTCGTTTTCGTTTTTGTTTTTCTCTTCAAGCTAATTTTAATTTTTTTTATTAATTAAGTTTTTGTCACCCAGTAGCACTCAAGGTCTGGTGATTTTTCAGTACTGATTAAATTATGAAAGCCTTACATAATTGCGGATGATTTCCATGAAATCCAATTTTTCTTATCAATTTTGGGACGGAAACATATTCTTGTTCATATCATTTTTTCTTCCCCCTCCAAACATTTTTCTTCTTCATCTAGTTTGAGTTCCTCGGTGTTTAACTATTCCTGGGGCTTATGATCCTGGTTTGTGAGAACTCAGGTTTTATCAACATGTGCAGAAAGATGGGGACATTCTTCTCTCGTAGTTCACGAGGCATCTTCTGGAAGTAGTTATGAAATGAAATTTATTTTAAGCTAAATGATTCATATTCAACAAGAGTGTTAACCAGTTAGCGACAGTGTTAAAGAACCTGTTTCAGTGAATCCATTAGAAGATAAACAATTTCAGTTGTGCAGTTGTGCAATACCATTTTCCAGTCAAAATTACACTTCTCGTGAATATGATGGGCGTGGAGTTGCTGGTACATTTCACCTAACAGCTATCCAAGTTAATTTTGTACCAAATCCTTTTGGTTGGCAACCAAATTTATCCGTACTTGCATTGCATGGTAGTTTCAGAATTTCCCCCCTTGCGTTTAGTATTTACATCTACATTTTATCAAATCCTTGTCACATCTGCAGATCAACCTGATGCCGTTGATGACAATGCATATTCCACCATTGTAGAAGGTTATTCAAATTGATTCAGAGAATTGTTTGGAGTAGTAAGCTTCCGGAGTTTGTAGCATCATTGATCGACACATTCACGCCGCCTACTTTTCTTCCATGTATTGCAGTCTAAAGGGATTTTAAGGCTGAAGGCAGCAATTTGTCTCTACTTTTTGACAAATTGTTATTTATCTCACAAGTATTAGTATTTGTTTTGAATTCAAGTAACATTATCTGTTTATAGGTATGAAATATATACAGTTTGTGGTAGAATTGCACTGTGTAATTAATTTTTTTTGTTATTTTTGTTGATTCCATGCCCTTCTTCATTTTGGCGTTCTCTTCTAGTGATAGATTTTGAGCTCTTTCATCCTCTCTCAATCTGCTACTTTCTGCAATTACTTGGACATCTTTGCAGGGTTCTGCATGTTTCTTTCTTCAAAATAAAATTAGAATTTTTGTTGAATCTCATTAGATTTCTTTCTTCAAAATAAAATTAGAATTTTGTTGAATCTCATTAGGGCCCCGTTTGGGGGAGCTTCCTGAAGCTTCAAAAAGTCCTTCCAAGCTTGAAAAGTCCATTTGAAAAAAATGATTTCTGGAACAGCTACTTTTTACCTAGACTTGAGGCATTTGTAAATCTGGAGCGGAATGTCTTTTATGTTAAGCATTGTTGGTGAAACGTCTGACTGTCTCAGAGAAAACTAGTCAAAAATGTTGCACCCTGTCTTTTAAGAGCAAAGTTGGTATTCTCCTTCAAATTGTGACCACTAATTTGTGACCACCTAGTTATTCGATTGATGCTTGAGAGGGTGCGACATCAATGAGAGCACCATGATAATTTTTTTTTTTTTTTTTTTTTTTTTTTGACGAGATTTAATTAAATTGAATATGGACCTCTTTATTATCACAAGAGCTCGTACTATCAATTATTGGATTGAGTGCCATTGTAGTAACTTTTTTTTTTTTTTTTTCTTTTTAATATTTCATGAAACACAAGATTTAGTTAACTTGAATATGGGCCTCTTTAATATCGCAAGTGCTCGGACTCTCAATTATTGGATCCAGGTCACATGAAAGCAGTTGTGAAGGGATTCTGACTATTAACACTGAACCATTGACAAACCTCTATGTCTCGCTCTCAGAGATGTACTTTTTCTATCACCTTTGAACAGTACCTTCGGTGAAGGCCTTCTAAACAAATATAATTTCTTTTTCAACCAAAATCAAGAACACCTTTAAAAAAAAAAAAAAAAACTCAAATTATACATCCAGAGGCACTGATCAAACACAATAGTAACTCGTCATTAAGAACTCACAAAATATAGTATAAATCCTCCATATCCTCTGTAACTACGTCGACCACTGCCATCAGTCACCGCCATACTAACCCTTCCACCACTGCTCTGTGAAAACCCCATTCCACCATCCAATAAAAGCCGAGCCACCAAGGCTTCCACCATTAGAGAATCTCAGTTGAATCCCTCACAACCACCCCTCCAGCAGCTTCCTTTGTAATCAAAGTTTGCCAAGGAGAGGACACCGAAGCACCACACTCGACTACTGCCCATGAGAGACTGATTTCTTTCCTTCTACCTTGCTAAAAAACCATGCACTAGTATTTTCAACAACTGTATCCGCCACCTCCAACACACATCCATGCTTGCCTTCAAATTCAGCCTTATTCAAAATTTCCTAAGATGCCAACATTTCTGAATCTGTCTAGACACTCAGCTTTCAATCCTTATAATAAAGCTCTCTATCCCTGCTGTTAGATAACTGGTTAACCAAAAGCCCTATTCCACAATTGTCTGATCAATAAGATCAGAAATCCAATGTACACACAGGGTGTGGAGTGCTAACATTGGGCCATCCACATTCAGCAACCATGAATGTGTCTATCTTTTAAATTTGATTCCCAGAAAAACACTAGCCATCTCCACCCCCTCCTCCCTGCTGTGACAAATACTCTTTACACAACCTTGCATCCATAAATGAGTTCTTCGGAAAATATTTCCCCCAAGCTCCGTAAAATATATATATATATTTCTCCCACAGCTAAACACCACCCCCGTTTTGCTAATAAAGCTGTATCGAAAAATTATAATTTAGTGACCTGACCTAATAATAGATTCAGTAAAGTGACCATTATCAGTATACTACAATAATTCAAGTGATAACATTGGTCAATTTTACCACTTTTCAGTGACCATGATCCCTCAACAAGAATAATTTTTTGGGTCTGACCACTAAATTATAATTTTTCCAAGCCAAAAATTGGGACAATTCTTTTGACGTCTGCATAGTCCCTTGTAGCTTTGCAAAAGAGTAGCCATGCACGGGAGAGAATGGAGATCACTCCACAGGCAGTGGAGTTAGTCCTCTCTCTAAAGAGTGATCTCCACCTACTCCTATGCACTGGAATGTCCCGTGCAAAAAAGAGTGTCCGATCTCAAAAGGAGCTAATTTTGTCGGTGGGAAACTAAAGTTACCATCAATGTAAACTATACTTGTTACATTTAAATTTGCAATACATGGAAAATACAACGGGACTAATTCGCAATAAGAAAATACAATTAGCATCCAAGTGTTGACGCTAAAATCGGCCCCTAAATCCGATTCTAATTTGATATGTTGCGGGCGTGCCAGAACCAATTGTCTGGTTCGAGTGTAAATTGTCAACGCTAGTCTCTTTAATAATATTGACTATCAGGTGATACGAGGAGAAAGAGGACAAATATAACTTCTAATTGCCTTCATTAAAAGGACTTTATAATATATAATAGTAATAATTGAGAGAATAGAAAAGGGAGAAAATATAGATATAGAAAGTGATAGGGAGAAGAGATAGGGAGAGAGATATATGGAGAGAGATAGAACGAGACTGAAATAGAGAGGGAGAGAGATAGAGATAGAGAAAAATAAGGAAAGAGCTTGAGAAAGTAAACACAATAATAAAATGATTTTGAGGGTGCTGGACCTAACCAATACTTCTACAATTATTTATAGAAGTCATAAAGAATCCTAAAATGAATAACTACATAAAAAGATAGAAAATAATTCCTAAACAAACTCTGTTATATAAGACATATCATATCCAAGGTGCTAACTCTTTTGAAGAGATTACATATTGTGATAAAATCCTTCTTGATATCACTTCCCTGCAAATTTACTGTAGTTAAAAAAATACAATGATATATCTTTTTCTTTATCTCCCACAAGATAAGAATAATTAAGGATAATAACAATTCTACTTGATCCAAAACTCTTTTAATAAATCCTTAATTATCTCTTTTAACAATTCTAATTATCCCTTCATAACCCAAAATACATATATAGCTGCCACATCATCATGCCACCTCACTGCCACGGTAATTTACCAAAATGGGTGTCAACACCAAGTCTCCAGAAAAATAAGGGCAAAATCAAAATCAGTAATAGTCTGTTTGGATTGAGGGAGTAAATGGGCAAAAAGGAAAAGAAGTACGAGAGACAATTTATGTCCTATTTGTTTTAAGATGAGTAATGAAAGGAAAGGGAGGAAAAGGAAGCCCCTCAGCCAGTGACATAGTTAATGATTTCTTGTTTTGTTATCATTTCTGAATTCTGATAGCAAGTGCAGAATTCTTCTTACATATTTTAATTTTTTGTTCGCATAATAAATTATTCATTTCTTTTCTTTTACCCTCAACATCTTTTCCAAACATAACAGGAAGGTACAAATATCCTTTCTTGTCTTTCCCTTCCCTAATTACTCAGCAAACAAGAGTGAGGATAAACATTTGTTTTCCTTCCTTTTCTTTGCTCTCCTAATTGAGTGTATGCTTCCTTCCTTTTCCTCATCAAAAGATACGGTAAGACAATTGTAGTCATAAACCACTAGTACATATCAGGAATAGTTGATAATTTTCGATGAAAAATCAATTCCTATAGCATGAAGCTCATGTGAACAAGAGTACACATGGTGGGAGGCTATGCAAAAAGTTTGGAGAGGTTACAATAAGGAAGAAACTTTAGTGAGTCTGATGGCATTCACGTACTGCTGGAAATCATCGGGGTAAAATTGGGACCTAAGAGTATTGTTTCTGTAGCTGTGTTGTAATGAGTTGATGGAGGTGGCAACTCTACCAAGAAAGAAATAGCTCTGGTGGAAGCGGCAACTCTATCAAGGAACAAAGGGATAGTGCCTCTGTAGAAGTGTGAAGGTGGATTACTGCATACCTGTGGTTCATTACAGCTAATTCTGATGGAGCTCTAAAAGCAGCAGGTTCAGTAGAGGGTTCAGGAACCAAATATCTGGATCCTGAATGCATGTCCATAGGAGGCAGAGAACTGCATCCCTAAAAATTCACAACTAGGACACTCAAATAGAGGAAGCTCTTTCTATAAACGAGCCAAACCTTATAGCTTCTAAATGTGGTTCTTGGGAAGTGCTTTTTTAAAGTAATATTATAGTGTAGTAACAAGGTTATTACTTAATACTAATTCTACCTAGAGTTTATGCACGGACACCAGACTTAAAAGAGCAGTAATGCTAGTCGATCGTGACAGGTCATTATCTGTGTCATCGTCAGGTTGGCATGTAGTTTTGTTCATTGTACCAGAGAGAAAATGAGAGTTGCAAGATTGAGCAGAGAACAAAATTCATAAGCCTAAATCCAACAGCTTAAATCATGAGAATTTTCTATGTAAGCTAGGAAAAAATTCTCTCTGTTCCATCTCAATTTCAGTCATGTTATTTGCATTCATCTTCGCCTAGACACTGAGGACTCTACCTGTAACATGGTAACAGTAAGGCAATGGACTAGGGTATGCTAATCTGGTGAGTGGTAAGCAGTGTTCTCACAATAGGATACATAACTAACTGTTCTTGAATCTAATCATGAAAAAAACATGATGCGAATACTCAAAACATTCATTTCAGTCCAGCAGTTTCTATTTAAAGGTGAAGTCTACCCCTTGCTCTCTATGCTTTTCATATTTGTTATTTTTCTCTCACAATTATTACCGAAATGCAACATTACAACTTCACATTAATAACTACACCAGCCACAAAACCATGTGAAAAATATACCAGTTTCCTTTAGGAAACTTAAATAACTGTGACATCTCAGAGCCATTCAACCCTTGCAAGACAAGCCTACATCAACAGCAATTTCGTTCCAAAGAGATACAAGCAAAGCTCATATATTATCTGCATTTGAAAAGTTGCTTCAAGCAACTAATGTCTAATCATTTGATGTACTGTAAGTTACAATTCATGTCCAAGCAGGCTTCAAAACTAAATGTCTGTTTTATGCCTAGTTACAGAGTGTGAGAGCGTCAAAGTCAAAAAAAAAATTGAGAGCACAAGCATTCACAGTGTCTGTATATCGAATGCAATGATCATATTATTTTATGGCATATATTTTTGGTCACCTTAGTCTAGTCTCTAAATTAATACACACACACACATATAAGTAAATTTATTTATTCATATAATATAGCTGAATACTAAAAGTTGTTAAATGAATAAATTGAAGAAATGTTTCCCACATTAGAGAAAGCTCAATGGCAAGTGGTCAATCTTTCTTCTTAAGGTCGCAACTCACAAGTTCAAGCTCTGCATATGTCATGTTTGACATCACTGACCATACTCACACATCTGGAAGGCAAACGCATACGATGAAATTCAAACACACATAACCAAAGGCATGTGGGAGGTGGAAAACTTAAGCAACACACCTTAACACATGAAGCTGTGTCGCTAAGTGAATTGAAATAGTAATTTTGTAAACTACGGAACTTGGATATGAGAATTTGGAGTGCATCCACTCTCAAACTACTATTTTATGTGCAATCTGTGAGAGTCATGTTCGTTATCCATGAATAATGTGAATATTGTGTTCTTACATATCTAAGGAAAAATACTGCAAGCTTATGCCTAGAAAATTCACCAAAAGATCTGGAATGAAAAAAGCAGCACACAAAACACATTTTTCTTATTCCTTGATTTGATAGATCAAGGGCCATATTTGAAACAGACCAATTCAATTTTCCCTTTTCTTTTAGGAAACATAGGTGTACATAACAATTGTCATTGAACTTGGCAGGACCATAAGAACCAAATGACCATAAAAATGTACTCTAGCACAAAATAAACAAAGCATTGAAGAACAACTATATCCATTAACCTTCCATACACATGATAATGAAAGAATGACACTTACTAAACAAGCTAATGAGTTGATAAAACTGCAGTTGAAAGGTTTATGACGGTTTCACAGTATAAACATGGAAAATCTGCAAATCTTCGGCTATCCATGAACATCCTGCTAAGGCTTGGTTTGGGAGAAAAATGCTCAAGGTAAACAGCGGACTACCCCAATTCAAGCTTGATTTCACAAGAAATGGTTGACTCTGCCAAGAGCTACACAAGATCAGCACCAGGAAGTGGCAGTGAAGTCATCTGCAAGGTTCTACCATTTCCTGAACCAAGAATACGTACAGAAGGCAAGGAAGGATCTGTGACGGGTTCAATCTCAAGAAAGTTGAAATCAAATGTACCAGACTGCTTCAAACTGAACACAAAGACAAGCACAATCCATCCCAACATGGAAACTGCCCAGAAATTGTTCATCCCATGGATCAAACCCCATGCAATAGAGTACCCAACAATGATCCCAGATAAATGCCCAAGAAAACTCGCTTGTGGAACAATTATTGAAGTGAAAATGAGTGATTCAAATGGTGCAAAACTGATGGGAAGCGAAAGAAACCCAAAAAGTTCCAACTTTGAAGATGGTTGCTTCACCGAAAGGATTGTCATCCAGCCAAAAACAACACAAGAATACCCAACAGCAGTCACCCTCCGAAAATACTCTAGCTTAAATTTTTGGATCAAAACATGGTATGCCCCCAATACCAGCAATCCTGATAAGACTACCAAGACAAGTGTGTAATGGAGATAAAATTCCATGCCAAGACCCATGTGCCCTAATTGCTCAACTACGCCAAGGCTCCAAAGTGCACTCATATTGAAAACAAGATGAAGAATGCTTATATGGGAAAATGCTGATGTTATTATCCTCCAATGGTGGCCCTCAATGGCAGTTTCATAACTTAAACCCACATGTGAATACCCAATATTTTTCTTCTGAATATAGAACCAAATTGCAGTACATATTCCTATAATACAACTTGTAGCAGGTTTTTCCAAGATCTCATAGAATAGTGGCTTCCCCATCTTAGGCCTTACACGCACTCACTCTTTAGAATGCTTCAAGCCAAGTTATTTACTTCAGTATTGCAATTCACACAAATTCAAACTTTCTATGCAACTTCCAACATTATAAATTGAGCCCTAACAAATAAAGGGTTTTGAAACCCAACAACCAAAAAGTCAAAAACCCATTTTCAAGACAATAGATCAACATATATAGATCTACTCTCATCAACCAGACAAAAACTGATTATAAGATCTCTCTACAAAATCTGAAATTTACACATTTCACCATCCCAAAACATCAAACTGGGAATTGGGTTCTGGAGAAAATCAATCAAATAACTTCCTATCCCAGTATTGAATACTTTTGTGTTCAGAAAAGAAAGACCCTGATTATAAAATCAACCTCTGCATCCAATCATGAAAAATTGACGAAACGATGAGGGGTTTTTGCTTACCAGAATGCAAAAAAAAACCAGGGCTTCTTCTTCACACGTTACACAAATAGAGGAATTAGGGTTGTGAAGGATTTGTTTCGCACCTTATTACCTCCGAGTCGATTCGAGTTCTGAGTGAGCGCTGGACTTTTCTTCTTGTTCCTTCTGTTCCTAAAAGGAAAATAAGTTCAAGTATGGGTAATGCAATTATGCCAACGAAAATAAAACACAAGCTGACACAGGGTTGGTTGTAACTTATATCATTCTTATGCCAATTATTACCAGTTAAAGGGCATAAAATTACTAAAATGCCCTTTATTTTTTCAGGAAAGAAAACATTTCGGTAGGAAATAAAAAATTAAGATGGAGGGACACAAAAAAGAAAAAAAAGAATGAATGAGATATCATAATGAATAGATTGTACTTATTATTATTATTTTTTTCGGTTAGAAAAGGAGGGATGAGAGAGGAAAAAAAAATTTAGGGGGCCTAATATAAAATCCGAATGGGGTGGGGGAAAGAAAAGAGAAAAAAAAGAAGAAGTTATTTTAGGATATAAATATTTAAAGCGTAATATAAAAATCCAAATGACGGAGGGGAGAGAGAGAAAAAAAAAAAAAAAACTTATTTTAGGATATGATACTTGAGAACTGGTATAAAATCAAAATGAGAGAAAGAAAAGAGGAAAAAATAAATTATTTTAGGATATAAATCTTTGAGGTCTAATATAAAAATTTTGTATTTATTAGAGTTTAATAATATTAGAAAATAATTATAGTATAACTTAATATAAAGAAAATTTTAAAATTTTGGGGCCTTAGGCAACAGCTTAAGTCGCCTAATGCTCAAGCCGGCCCTGACTTTGGAGAGAAGGATAGATCAAAATTTTAATTATTTTTACCATTATGTCTAGTAATATGTACAATAATAATGTAATTTATAGTGACAGTATTATAATTTAAAACTTCTCAAATTTAGGATAATATTAATTTAAAATTTCTATAATAATCTATTTTTTTTTCATTTCTTTCTTCATGATAAAAATTTGTAAAAAAAGAAGGATGACACATTTTTTTTTACTATCTTTTCTTTTCTTTAATCATTTCTACAATAGATATTTATTTATTTATATTTTATTTTCTTTTCACACCTTTTTCTTCCTCTTTACCCAACAAAGCAAAAGGGTAAGAGGCGAATTTGGATTAAAAAAAGTTGAATACGTTGGGTGCCGTGGAGGTTGAATCCGATTTTTCTCTCGCGCACTACTGTCAGGATGTGAAGGCTGACCCTATCATATCACCAAAAATCCAACACGGGTCGGATCAAATGATGTATGCAATGAAGGCTTTGAAAAAGAAAGGTCGCTTCGTTAGAGAATTGACCTAATAAAGTGAGGAGACCATTAACTACCTTGTTTCCGGGTAAAATTGAATGAACAACGCCTTGCATGATTCAATACAAGCGGGAAGTCACTCGTGAATGGTTCTTGTTTTGGGTTGCGAGCAGAATGGATTTTGTGTCAGATTGTTATTTTGTCAATTTTATATAAACAATGTATTGTAGTTATTATATAAATGATGCAAAATTGTTGCATAAATAATGTGTAAATTGTTGTATAAACAATGTAAGTTGTTGGTCAAGTGATCTAAATGACATAAAACACAGCACAAGACATGATCTAGGTTTATGTTTTTGGTTGTAAAGTGAAGAAACTATTATATTACAAACCACGAGACTTTCGCAGTCTCAAACTAAACGATCTACTATCTTCGAAATACAATATATTTTTATTTAGGCTCACACCCACTCTGTCTACCACTAGTTGCTGAATGCCCTGGCTTTGTGATTCTATTATCCAAACGCTCTCAACTTTAGATATACTCTTCAATTGCTGTCGAAAGTTTGTGAACACTCCATGAATGCTCTATCCTCTTATACCTCAATCGAAATATCCGCCCAACTTGTTTTGAATTTGCCATTAAACATCAATCCTACTTCTGAACAGAATCAATAAATCTTTGGTATGAACTCTATTCATATAAGGAACACAATGTAAATCACTCTTGTGTTTAAATGTGTGTTCTAAAAAAAAAAACCAAAAAATAATTTTTGATTTTCTAAAAAATAATTCTCAAAACCTCTCTAAATTAAAAATTTAGGAGTAAAAGAGATATTTTATAAATGTTAGAAAGACCTGAATATACTTAAAAAAACAAGTTTTATTTGTAAAAAAATGTCTCCTTAAAATCTTATAAAAAAAAAAAAAAAAATCCCAATTGGACTAATACAATATATTCTACATTGGTTTCAAGATAGTAAGATCGGTTCAGGAAAGTTGGACGGTCCACTTTGGTAAAAATTGAAATCGTGAATCACAGACCAACTTGGACGGATCCATTTTTCACCCAAAATTCATCTTAAAAATCAAGTCAAGTTGGCCCGGTCCATTTTTAACAGACTCAACAGATTTTTATCAAAACTCATTAATTTCTAAGCCTTTCCATAAAAAAGGAAAGTATCCTCACCACATACCTCGACTAATATGATATTCTCAAACGGAAGTATGGTTGCACTTTGTTCAACCTTGTAATTCCATTTCCAATATCAAGACTTGAAAATAAAGCATAAAAATACAACTCAATTGAACTAATTTTGACACCAAAATTTATCAATTACAATATACTATATCACATGTGGTAGTTTAGGATGCTTTATCTCGATTATATTACATTATGTATCTACTCTTATTTAAATTCTATATAAGTTATTGCCATTATATATTAAAAATATTAAACTTTAACAACACGAGACAATTAGGTGTCTCACATAGCTATAGCCCCACCCATAGTTATTGTGATGGGCATCATGGGCTCTACAACCATGTGAGACACACCCATTGGGTGTGTCACATATAACATTGCACTTAATACATATGGAGCAGTGGCGTTGGTTGTTGTTTTTTTTTTTTATTATTATTTTTTTCACCAAAGCAAAGCAAACGATATATTAAGAAGGAAAAGAAATACAATTAAGGAGTAGAGCGTCTATCTCTTGGATTAAAGAACCGCTGCACCATCTCAGAATTCCAACAATGAGAAGATTGGATTATTAAACCAGCCACAGAAGAAAAGGGCGTAGTCCGTTGTTGAGAAGTAACTGAACTATTCAAAGAATCCGGAAGCCAGTTGTCATGCCAACAGTTAACCATCTCTCCAGTGCCAACCCACCATTTCATCCCTTTTGTGATAGTATCCCTTGCAGAGAAAATACCCCTCCAAGCCCATGAAGCTTTAGCCTTGTATGGGGCATCAACAGAATTGCAACTTTTAAAATACTTTTGCTTAAAAGATGTAAAAAGAAGAGATTCATCACCAACCTCCATTCGCCACGCCATCTTTGCAAGCAATGCCAAATTAAAAGCCTCAATATTTTTAAAACCCAAACCGCTAGAGATTTTTGATTCACAAAGAGTTGACCAACTAACCCATTTAATCGTAGAAGATTTTTCCTCTTACACTCCACTAGAAATTGAGAAGCTTGATCGTCAAATCCTTACAATTCTGCTTAGGAAATTTAAGACATTGCATTGCATACGTCGGAAGAGCATTGAGCACGGCTGTCAGCAAAACTTCTCTACCTGCTTTGGAAAGCAGATTTCCTTTAAGAGTCTTGACTTTGGATGAAACCCGATCTGAAATGAAATTGAGAGAGGCAACCGTAGACTATCCTAAGACTGAAGGAAGCCCAAGATATTTATTTTGCCAATCAACATTTTGAATGCACAAGATCTGTCTGCACAGAGCTTTCAAATCCAGATTAGTATAAGGAGAAAAATAAAGAGAGGATTTATCAAAATTAACCAGTTGACCCGTTAGGCCATCATATCCATCCAAAATGAATTTAATGCCGCGGACCTCAGAAAGCTTTGCTTTACAGAAGAGAAGGGCATCGTTTGCAAAAAGCAAGTGAGAAATGGGAGGACAACCTCTGGCCATTTTTAAACCATTCAACTTTTTCCTACTCTCCAACTGCTGAAATAAAAGGGTCTTCCTGACGCAAGCCTCTAAAAGGAACAAAAGAATCCCCCCTTTCACCATTCAACACCATTGAAAACGAGACAGTACTGATACATTCCTTCATCAAACCCACCCACCGTTGGCTAAAACCTAAATAACTCAGGAAATTACAAACAAAGGACCATTTAACTCGATCATAAGCTTTAGCCATATCAAGCTTAAGTGCAAGAAAACAAGAATCCCCGTCCTTTTTAGGCTTTAAAACATGCAAAAGATCATGGGGTAGAAGAATATTGTCATGAATAAGGCGATGCGGAACAAAAGCGCTCTGGGATTCACTGATGAGAAGGGGCAAAAAAAATTTGAGTCTGTTTGCAAGAGTTTTAGAGAATAAACGATACACCACATTATAAAGGGAAACAGGATGAAAATGAGACATTTGGGTAGGATGTTTCACCTTTAGAATGAGGACAATATTAGTGGCATTCAGATTATTTGGAAGCAAACCACCATGTAAGAAGGAATTAAAACCTTAAAGAAGATCAAACTTTAGAGTATCCCAATTTGTTTTGAAGAATAGTGGAGTAAAACCATCTGGCCCCGGTGCCTTATAGGACCCTATACTGGCTAAAGCAGCCCACAATTCCTCAATAGTCCCATCTTTCAGCAACTCTTGATTCATATCCGACGAAACCTTGCAAGGGATAGAAGCCCAAAATTGAGAATCATCTTGATCCAGTGGGGTATGTGGGGTGTTGACATACGCCCTTTTATTCTCTCATCTCACTCAAAACCTCCTCCTTTCCATGATGAGTAATGAGAAACAAAAATTTGAGAATATTAAATTAATAAAAAGATTAAACAGTGTTTTTGTACTTTTAAAAAATAATTTTTCATTTAACATTATTTGTCATTTCATAACCGGATTGATGTGTCGGATACGGATATTGGGCAACGTGATCACTTTTTAAAAAGTGTAGGAGTTATGTGAAACATATTGAAGTTTTATGATCAAAATTTCAAAGTAGTGGAGAATTGTACGTATTTTCTCATAGAAAAAAAATCCCAATTGTTCTTTGATTCTATCTTCCTTTCTTCTTCTTCTTCTTTTTTTATATATTTTTTTTATTATTTTTTTATTTTTTTGTCTAACAAGATTTGTTCTTCAAATCAGTAGGTGTGTTTGGAGCTCTTTTTTAATTAATTAAAAAATT